ATACTGTATATATATTCATTCATTCTACCTTTATTTATACAGGTTAATCGCATTGAGCCTTGGGGACTCCATTACAAGAGAGACCTGATTTTTACAAAGAATCATGACAACAGTGGAAAACAACGACAATAATAGACAATCATAAAGGATGCGTACAAATTGAGAATTTTTATTTTATTTTTTTACAAGTGAAAATCAAATGGTATTTAAAAGGAAACGTCACAACAACAACAACAACAAAAAACAGCTAGGTTGTAGGGCGGTGTAGAAAACTAAAAACAAGAATTTGTCTGCATTATAATATATATATATGAAATACATATGCTATATATATAATATAATGTGTTATGTGTTTTAGGTCATGTTACATGAAAAAATTAACTATGACTGATGTTGATGCTGGTTTCTGAGACTTTGATCTGTTCTTGTACATATGCACAGAGGAAATGCAGCAGTTCCAACTTCAACTTGCTGAATCTGAACGACGCATCAGCAGCTACGTACGAACGTTTAACAAGATGCAAGCCAACTACCACAACCTTATTGGAATCACTGCGGAACTGGTTGATGCTTTGGAGGCCACTGTCAGTGGAAAAATGGTGAGCCAGTCTGACTGGGTCATTTTTAAACACGAGCTACAGCTGATGGTCACAGATCATCTACACTCGTAAATACTCAATTGACAAAAATACGTTTTTTTTGTTTGTTCTTTCTTTACATACAAAGTTAAGTACATCCAAACAATAATAAAACCTTCTAAAACACAATATTTCAAAATAGGCTTTTCTGTTTCAATGCATCCATTTTAAACTCAGCCAAACAAATGATCCTTTTCTTTCAATATGAGATGTCCTAAAGCTCAAGGAACTTGTAATTTTGCAGATCGCCCCTGAGTACTTGCAGAGTGTGTATGTTCGCCTGTTCAGCAGCCAAATGAGACAAAGTGCGGTGCAAAGCACTGATTTCACCAGGCCTGGCACAGTAAGTAACACACACACACACACGCACAACCATCTCTCTAATCCTGTCCTCTCCTTCACTTTTCATTCTTAGAAAAGGTAAGGGCACAGAAATGTTGAGTAGCAACTTCTCACAGGATCCACGTCACTAAGGGTTTGTCAAACTGTTACAGTGTTTGGAAATGATATTTAAACATAAAGGACTGACATACCAAGTGTCTCCCTTTGTACACTGAGTAACCACCCTGGCTGCATTACTAATCTATACTTTATATCCTGGAAACATAGAACTAAATCCTAGTTTGCATTACTCATATTAAACACTTCCTGTAAAGCTATACATAAAGATTAAACCATCTCTACCAGTCACTGTCTCTAAAATAAGAAAATAACCTACACTTTTAAAACATAACTCATCAAGGTGTAAAAAAAATCTTCATATTATGAAAATTCTTGCGATTTAATTTTTGTTACAGCATAACTCTGCATTTTTTTTTACTGGTTCTATGAATGCAAACATGGAGCTTGTTCTGGACGTAGAGCACCAAAATTAAACAATTTCATTATTACTGCTGTACATCTGTTAAGATTGTTGTTTGTTTCATTTTCCAGTTAATTCTGAACTTCTGTTGCCTCAGATTTACATGTAAATCGGGGCCAGTTTGCCCTCAGTTGGCAGCATATTTAAAGTATTTCCTCGACTTTGTCTCGCTGTCAGCCATTTCCAACAGAAGGTTGAAACTTTGATAGTGTCCTTTCCAAAGCCACCACACTCAACTGACAAAGCCAGTAATTTCACCAGAAAAAAGACCATAGTTATTGGTCCCAGTTTCTTGACTTTGATGGGGTTTTTTTTGTTTTAATTAGGATTCAAACCAAAGTAGTGACACACCAGAATGACATAATGACACTAATGAATATAAAGATCAATGCTGTGAGAAACAAAACTTAAGCTTCTTTTAATACATTTTTGTAACTTTTCTGTGGGATAGTCACTTAACTACACTTAGTCTGTCAAATTATTTTCAACAAAATAATTAGCAATTATGTTGTTTTGCTTTTTTCCCCCTACAATAACTCCGCTCCATCCCCCAGGCCTGAGTTGTTGGTTATAACGCAGCTGTGCCTTATTTCCTTATTGAGAGGAAGCAAAGCTAAGATGGAGCTGTGGCTCAACAAGCCCTCAAACTGCTGCGATCCAAAAGAGCTATGAAATCATCAAGCTTTCAGAAACACTGTAAGCTGAAAGAAAACAGCTATGTTTTGAAAATAAAGTTTACTCTCACTAACCTTTGAGCTGTTGAGTTCTGGCTTGTCAAATTTTACATTTTCATACTCCCGTCGAAGGCGTAGTCGGTCCGTACGTCTGTAAACTTTCTCTTGTCCCACCTGTCACTTTTAATCTGCTCAAGATAATTTAATGAAGCTTGATGCACAAATCATCACTGAACAGAGTGCCACACACACTTTTCATCACCCCTGCTTCAAGGTCATGGTAACAAATGAAGGTCAAATGCTATAAGAGGTAGTTGCTTGTCCCTGTTGCTATAGATTGCTGTATAATAGTGTGGCGACAGGTGTGTAATTTTTCCGTATACTGTACTCTTAGTATAGCTTGAAATGAACAACTTTTCTTTCTGTGTGTGTGTGTTTTCTGTGTGTGATGCTTTTATCCTCAAAGGGATATTACTCTATGAGTCCCTATGATGATGGCTATGTAAGTTTTATAAGTTATCATCTTTTCTTCTTGTCATCGCTCCTGTTATCTTGCTTGTATCTCGCTGTGTCTCCTCCTCATCCTCTTGTGATTATATCTGCCCACTACTTTACTTTGCCTGACCTGTCCTCAGTCCATTTTCTGTCATTTTCTGTCCTAATGTCTGGAGGTGCTCGTCTTTATTTGTTTAAAATGCAACAAGAATGCCTTTCATAGCACACCTAATCATATTCAGCTGTTCCGTAACACTGGTTATTGTTCCTCCTCTAGAGTCTCCTTATAGCTCCTCTGCCTTTTATAGTTATGTCAGTTTCAGTTTTCTCCCTTTATTGTTATTTGGCATAGATTTTTGAAAGCATTTAGCTAGAAAACACAACAAACATGGCCAACAGGTTTCTCACAGGAAGCGTTTCTCACATGATCAGGTAGGTTTAAATTACAGAGATTTGAAAAGACACAATCAGAACGATCCATAACAAGTGTGATGACTTACAGTAAAAGGAGTCACTGAAGTCAAACAATAAATAATGGTCTACCGGTCCTGTAATCAATATTTGACCGCTTTTTTTTCCCCATTTGGTAAAAATATCTATAAATATCTTTGTCTATAAGATGGTTGTTTAAATTTATATTTTGGTGTTAATTAATATCATTACATACATCTTTTTTTTTTTTGTTGTATCTTATAGTAAACATCAAAAATTCACTTCAATAATTAAATGATCATCAACACCAGTCAAATGATACCTGAGATGAGATTAATATCTTTCTTGCTACCACTCATAAGGTCACTCTCTCTGGCTTTGGATTGTATTTCAGAGCTTAATTTCATTTTTAGCTGGAGAGGAAAAAGTTAATCTGTTTACTTCAGAAACGCACCTCGTCACCTTTTTCTTTAATGTCTCAATTCATCCACCCCCAAAGGACCTTCATAGGTCTGTTGTACGTTTATAATGAGGTGCAATAACTTCAGAAATACTAACCCACCTTTTTTGGCTATGGTCTTGACCTGATTGTCAGATAGATAGTGCATGGACTACAAACAAAACAGTATGTAAGCATGTAACCTAAGCATGATGTATATGCATGTCTCAAAGAACACTAATCATTGGTTTAGATAGTTGTTAACCTGCTTGTCTCAGGTGGAGGTAACTACAAATTTGTAGGAGGACCAGACGGTAAAAATGATAAGAGAAAAGCTGACACTCGCATGGGTTTTTGTTTTGTACACTGTAAAATGAAATAAATCTAAAATAATCAAGTTGTAAAATAAATGTGTTTGTTTAAGGCCTCCTCTATGCTACGAGCATCCATTGTACCACAGTAAGTCATTAACCTTTTTTTATTACTTTTTTGGTAAATGTACATCAAAACACATCTGACATCCATTTGTTTTTCATTTCTAGGACATTGAAGGAAGTGCCAATGTTGCCCTCATTAGACTATGAGAAGCTGAAGAAAGACTTAGCTGAAGGCTCAGACAGGCTCAAGTGTCTCCTGCTGCAGGCGCTGCGCTGGGTGTGATGCTTTTTTCCAGATTTTTATGTATATATTTTGTCTGATTACCTGATTCCAAATGACACTGTTTTCTGTTCTTGTTAAATAAAAATCCATGCCTTTAAACAGAATATCTTTATGCTCTGGGTTTGATATTGTTTGCTTTAAAGTTTAGTAATAGTAATAATACATTTTATTTGTATAGCATTAGGGTTAGAATAAGCAATGTATATTTACCTCATTGCATGTACTGCAGTTTGAGCTACTTTTAATCCCTTATTTTGGCTTAATAAATAATTTTTGATTTTAAGGATAATGCAAAAAAAAAAATTAAACTCTGTTCTTTGTAAAGCGGCAATAAGCTGTTTGAGGAAAGGTTAATGTTATATATTAATACTGCATTAGATGTGATCATGATTAACAAAAGTAATGTTTTACAGATCAGACTTGTGTTTGTTGTATCAAGTAAAAAGTTTTTTTTTTCTCTCTGAAGTGCAACAGTTTTTTTTTTTTTTTTACCTGTGAATAAAAGAATGCTAGTAATCTTTACACAGTTTTTATTTGAAGGCTTTTTATAGTCCTAATTCTCTGACCTGTTCTTGTTTCTCCAGAGACTTACTCGCTCACTCCCCGGTGAGCAGAGAGACACTGTCCTTCAGGCCTACATCAGCAATGATCTGTTGGAATGCTACAGTACAAAGAAGGTGGGGCAGTAGTTTCAGAGCCACATTTTGTCTGGTCAGTTTCCCAATAACTAACAAAGCCTAAAGCTCAAGAAGACTGTATGCCAAAATTATCCTCAAATGTTTGAGCCACACACATTTTTCCTCTTTTATAACCTTTACTGTAGGAGTTCGTGTTACTAGTAATCTCTTTCAAGAGTGCAAATTATCCTGTTCTAACTACTGAATTCTTCTGCCATACTTACCAGAGGGCTCCAAGACACATCTAAATGATACCTGACACTTCCTGTATGGAGGAACATTTCCAAATGTTCTGAGATTGTTGTGGAACAAGTGTCCTATGAGGACACTATCTTCTATCTTCCATTAGTATTTACACTATCTTCCAGTATCTTCTCGTTTCAGCCATGTGGTTCTTTATATTCTAGCAACAAAGCTGATATTGTAGAAAACAGAACACGTACAGTAGAATTTGTTGAGAGTGTTTTCGTTTGTTTTTTTGTGTGTGACACAAACATTTGCCTTTATTGCAACTTAGTCACAGCGAGGGAATTTTTTTGGGGGGGAGTTGTAAAGAGTTGTTTAGTGGAATCTAAATATTTCTGGGTGAATATTGATGGAAAAGGTTATCCTTATGTTTTTAGTTTAACAGAATAATAATGCTAATAATCGCATGTATGTAATGTCTGAAATGTTTTTGGGTTTTTTTACTTAGAAAACTGTGCTTCATTTGATGAGATCAACAAATGAGGTTGTTCGTCAGTACCTGGCTCGTCTTATCAATGCATTTGCTTCCCTTGCGGAGGGTAAGTTTTCAGCCAATGTTGGATTTGGTTAAGCATTATCAATTTATGTTAAGTTGAATCATTGCCTTCCTGACCTAGTTGTGGAAACCGACTGATGGAAGGTCTGTGTGCATTTCAGCTGAGCTCTAAAACTGTTCATGATGCTGAACAGTAGCATTCAATAAAGCAAGAAGTGCAATTTGTAAAAAAGATTGGGGTTAGTTTTCATTCTCCATCGCACAAAGAACTTTAACTTTTGATATCTCAAAAACATCTTGCTATGTGGTGTAGATAATTCCTCTTAGTCACAAGCTGATAGGGTTGAACTGTTTTTAGATTAAGTGTAACTAAATTATGACGGTTCACAGCCTTGGCTGTTACTGAGGCAAAAGCTTGGATGTGGTAGGAGTTCAGTGAGGCCTTGGATAAAGACTCTCGGTTGGCTCAGAGGAGATTCTGGCAAACCATCAGGTGGATGAGGAGGGAAAAGCAGCACTTTATTAACACTGTGTTCAGTGAAGGTGAGGTGCTGTTGACCTCAACCAGTGAGGTCGTCGAGAGGTGGAAGAAATACTTCTTGGACATTCTCAATTCCACTGACATGTCTTCCTTGGTGGAAGCTGAGTCGGGGGACTTCAGGGCTGGTCTCTCCATAACTGTGGCTAAGGTCGCCGAGGTAGTTAAAAAGCTCTGAGGCGACAGCTCCGGGGTGGATGAGATTCACCCTGATTTCACCCTTCTCTGGATGTTGTGGGCTGTCTTGGTTGACATGCCTTTGCAACATTGCGTGGATATCGGGGGCAGTGCCACTGGATTGGCAGACTGGGGTGGTGGTTCCCGTCTTCAAAAAGCAGGGCCTGAGCATGTGCTCCAATTACAGAAGCATCACTCTCCTTAGCTTCCCTGGTAAGGTCTATTCAGGGGTACTCGAGAAGTGAGTCTGGTCGTTGGTGAAACCTCTGACCCAGGAGGAACAATGTGGGTTCCATCCTGGCCGTGGAACACTGGATCAGCACTTTACCTTCACTAGGGTCCTCGAGGGGTCATGGGAGTTTGCCCATCCTGTCTGCTTGTGTTTTGTGGACTTGGAGAAGGCTTTTGACTGTGTTCCTTGGGGTACACTGTGGGGGTGCTTCGTGAGTATGAGATTGGGGGCCCGTTGCTACAGGCTGTTTGGTCCCTAAACAAGCTGTGCAAGAGTTTGATTTGCATTGCCGGTAGTAAGTTGGACCCCTTCAAGGTGGGAGTTGGACTCATCCAGGGCTGCCCGTTGTCACAGATTCTGTTCATAACTTTTATGGGCAGAATTTCTTGGAGCAGCCAGTGGGTGGAGGGTTTCCGATTCGGTGGCCTCAGGATTCCATCTCTGCTCTTTGCAGATGATGTGGTCCTGTTGGCTTCATCTTCAGCTCTCACTGGAGCGGTTCGCAGCCTAGTGTGAAACAGCTGGGATGAGACTCAGCACCTCCAAATCTGAGCCCATGGTCATCAGTCGGTTAAGGGTGGATTGCTCTCTTTGGGTCAAGGGTGAGGTTCTGCCTCAAGTGGAGGAGTTCAAATATCTCAAGGTTTTGTTCAGGAATGAGGGAAGAATGGAGCATGAGATTGACAGATGGATTGGTGCAGCATCTGCAGTATTGTGGACTCTGTGCCGGTCCATTGTGGTAAAGACGGAGCTGAGCTTTAAGACAAAGCTCTCTGTTTACCGGTCAGTCTATGTTCCTACCCTCACCTATGGCCATGACCTTTGGGTCGTTACTGAAAAATGAGATTGTGGATACAGGCGGTTGAAATTAGTTTCCTCTGAAGGGTAGTTGGACTCTCTCTTAGAGATAGGGTGAGAAGTTCAGTTATCTGGGAGAGACTCAGAGTAGAACCACTGCTTCTCCACATCAAGAGGAGCCAGTTGAGGTGGTTCAGGCATCTGGTAAGGATGCCTTCTGGGCGCCACTCTAGGGAGGTGCTTCAGGCATGTCTGACTGGGAGGAGGCCCCGGGGAAGACCCAGGATACGCTGGAGATGCCATGTCTCTTGGTTGGCCTGGGAGGTTGGCCTGTGAATGCCTTGGGGTCCTCCTAGAAGAGCTAAAAGAGGTGTCTGTAGAAAGAGATGTCTGGGCCTCCCTGCTCAAGCTGCTGCGCCTGTGACTTCGAAATAAGCGCAAGATGATGGATGGATGGATGGCTGGATGGATGATGGATGAATCACAAGCCATGTTCATTTGTCTCAAATTGTTTTTGCAAGTGTTCAGAGTTGTCTTTAAAGTGTAAATTTGTGCATTTTTTTAAACCTCTGCTCTTTATTTACATAAATACTGTAATTTTCAATAATCATTTGATTTTTATTCCATCATGTGTTCATGACTACAGGCCGAGCTTACCTCTCCCAAATTCCTCTTCTACTGAAACTTCTGACCGAGGCACTAAGGAATGAGGAGAAGGACTCCCTGATTAGAGAAAATGTACTGGTGGCTCTGCAGAAACTCAGCCTTAGGTACATTTTTACTTATCAAATGTTGTCGTGGGCAGGAGGTTGTTCAGCGTGAAGCCTGACAACAAGGCTGAGGAACAGTTTCTTCCTTGAGACTGTGAGCCTCAAAAACTCTCCCTGAAGCTGCAGAGGTTTTGTTTTTATTAATGTAATTTTAGGTCATTCATATTTAACTTTTAGTAGACGTGATGAACTTTTTGTTGTTTATCTAACAAAGAATGACAAATAATAATAATGAAAATAAACACTTTTTGAGCCCTCGTTCAGTTTGCAGTTTAGATTTGCAGGATGAATTGTCACTTTTCCAGCTCAGAGAAGAAGAAATCCAACCGTCCTGCCTTCATCTCCATCCAACTTTAACCTCACATTATGCTGCAGTCCTTGTTTCATGGAAACTAAAAAAGAAAAAACTTTTAGTCTGACTTTTTGCATTACTTAAAAGCAACTTATTTTGAAAGCTATCTGGATTTTGAAGTTTGCTAAGTGTTAGTTTGAGTTTGATTTTTCTGTGTGTTTTAATGTGAACTGTCTGGACTGCAGAATTTCTTCAAGGTTTATTAAGTGTAATTTGTCTACAATCTCTAAAGACACATCCTGTAGAAGACAGGGGACTCCAGTCACATTTGTCACTTTGCCCACTAAAACCAACTACAATCTGGAGGTCCAAACATGGTTTGAGAAGAGTGTCTTGGCCTTATAATTTTGTTCTGTTTTGACCAAATGTTTTCACACTACAATAATATAGACAATATATACAATGCTGTTACCGCAAAGAATGAATATCAAATCATATTATGCAGTTTTTTTACCTATGCAACACATATATATTTTAAATCTTGTAAGTGAGACGTATTGTTTATGTGTTGTCATTAGGAGGAGCCAACAGACGGCCATGATCACAGATGATCTAATTGGCTGGCTTGTTGATGAACTGCAGGACTCAGACTGCCTCAGTGACTACACCCTGGAGTACTCTGCAGCTCTGCTTATGAACTTGTGTCTGCGAACTAAAGGTAACTAAATGAAAGCGCAATTAGATCCAGATAATTGTAAACTGCATTTTTAGAGTCTCTGTGATGGACTGGAGACCTTTCCAGGGTGTATCCCGCTTCTCGCACGTTGACTGCTGCTTATGAGCACCAGCGACCCCCGCGACCCGAAAAGGAAGAAGCGTGTGAAGATAATGGATGGATAGAGTTTTAGAGCCTCTGTACACTTGTCTAGAAGTTACAACACAAAATTCAGATTAATTAAAGTGGCTTTTTAAAACAGTTAAATAGGGTAGCAGCGACTGCGATTTTCTACAGGTGCAAACCCTAAAATGTTGTGCACATAACCAAATCATTTTATGACGAATTTATACACCCAATTTACTACACGTGTTCCATAAATGACAATGCATTCTCTTTTATTTTGAAGTGTCTTTTATTGTTAGAAAGTATTATAAATTATTGCACCCAAAATTTAAGTGAGGTTCATCAGTTTTGTCCTGTTATCTTACAACAGCTCTGAAAAAATTAAAATAACCACTCGTGTTCTACCAGGATTTTTGTTTAGTAAAAATAAATCCCTTATATGACACTGAACTCAATTAAAAATTCATGTTAAGAAAACATTTTTTTATCATGGTCCAACAACAACAACAATAATTTGTTGCAACTTCCCTGGCTTTTATGACTGTTTTATATCCTGTTTTTAATACTTGCTTTTATATACTTATATATATGCTTTTATATACTTATATATATGCTTTTATATACAGGATACTTGCTTTTATCATTTTTGCTAAAGACCAAATTATTCCTTGCCTGTTTTCTCTACTGCCCTGTGATGGACTTGCGACCCGTCCAGGGTGTACCCCGCCCCTCACACAGTGATTGCTGGACATGGGCACCAGCGACCCCCGTGACCCAAAATGGAATAAGCGGGTAAAGAAAATGGATGGATGGATGGATGTTTCCTCTACTTTAGCTGAAGAAAACCACCATTATCACAATGTTGCAGAACACAGAAGCACATAAATATGCTGCATTTACACAGAAGCAATGTTGCACTTAAAAAAAAGGGATGTGGGAGACTTTGACTTGTGCTATCTTTATTTTAATTTTGTTTTTGTTTTTCTGTGTGGGGGGGCAAAAGGCAACACACACAAGCCACTCAAAACAGAATTAGTTAACATAAAGATTTCATGTGTTCCGCATACACAAAAATCTATTGAGAAAATTAAACATATTGAGCTTAAGGAAAGTATGTGTTGCTCTGGGTGTTAATATTCAACAAACCCAAAAATGTATTATTGTGATGCAAGAATAAAGTGTGTGCGTGCGTGCGTGCGTGCGTGTTAAAATGCTTCTCTGTTTACAGGAAAAAGGAAGTGTGCAGAGACTGCCAAGCATGTGCTAAAAGTTCTGACTGACCTCCTTGGACATGAGAACCACGAGGTGATTCACACATCTGTCAGCTCACAGACACAGATGTTGCTCAAACAATGAGATGAATATGCACACGTGGCACATTCATAGAGGTTAAAGTGTGCACAGCACAACTCATTTGTTGAATAGAGGCCTTTACATACATGCATGAATAATTTGTCAAATATGACATTTTATTATATTTTAAAAATGTAAACAAACTAAGCTTTAACTGCAAGTCAGTAAAATGTCCAGAATATTTCCTCTTTGTACAAAAATTCCAAACTGCATGTTTAAACACAAAATTATAATTTGTGCACAAACAATATGTTTATTAATATCACTTTGCTTTCCTCAGATTCGACCATATGTGAACGGAGCCCTGTACAGTATCCTGTGTGTTCCCGCAGTGCGACAGGAAGCCAAAGAAATGGTGAGATAGTAAAAAAAAGGCTTTTACTTGCTTGTGCTACATTTATCTTACCTATTTCATTTAAAGAAAACAGAATTATAATGCAGTTGTGAAAATTATTTAAGAGTTGTGTCCCAAATTGAGTATTGTTTGCTTCAGTAAAAACTTAAAATGCATTTTGTTTGAACTCTTAATTGCACTTATTAAGAAAAATCAGATAAATAGCATTTAATGTACAACATGTTTCCCAGTGACTCTTATGAACTTGTTTCTTTCATGTGTTTAAGAGCATAGAGGAGATTCTTCGCTGTTACAACAAAGAAGAAAACCCAGACCTCAACAGACAGATTGAGTTCATCATCAAACAACTAAACTCTGGTTAGTTCAATCAGCAGTAGATACATAAAGTACAAATAATTCCAAACTATTTGCATGAATGTTAAGATTGAGCTTATTGGTGTTTTTATTGCATGTTAATACTGTGTGTTGTTTTTCGGACACTTTGAAATACCACTTTGCTTATTGTACGTTATAATAAATGTATTTAGAATTGTACTCCCATGTAAAATAAGTGACATATTTATCAACGTTTTTTATCCAGGTGAGGAGGAGGGACCAGAGTCAGACGATGAAGAAGAAGAGGATGATAATGACGTAAGCCTCCTGAAAGCTTGTGAGACATACATATGCCATCATGTTACCTATTGACCTCCTTAATCATTAAAACCATACAAATATATTACAAAATGAAAGAGAAAATGTTTAAAATTGAAAAACAAAAAGAGAGGAATAACAATTTTTTTCTATTATGTATAGTAGATGGCCATCAGACATGACACAGATATTGGGTGTTTCTCACCTGTATGAGTTGCATGTGTTTATCAGAATCTCCTGAGCTTGAAACTTTGCACATTGTGAGAAAGTGACATATCATGATAGGATAAAAAAGTAACAATGGGTGTGTTACTGTGAGTATGCATGATATGTGGACAGTATGTTTGAGCTCTTAATTTCAAAGCTTGATGAAAAATATTTAATGAGTGCCTTTGTTCACTTGCTTTTGCAATCTGTGTTCATATAGTGTTTATTTTATATCCATTTACATACCCATCCATCCATCCATTATCTTTTACCCGCTTCTTCCATTTTGGGTCACGGGGGTCACCAGTGCCCATGTCCGGCAATCACTGTGCGAGGGGCGGGGTACAACCTGGACAGGTCGCAAGTCCATCACAGCATTTACATACCCATAATGATGAATTGAATCATCCACCCATCCATCTTTTATCACTTATCTGATGCTGGGTCGCAGAAACAACAGGTCCAAGAGAGAAACCCAGCCTTTTCTCTTCCCAGTGACACTTTCCAGCTTGTTCTGGGATCTTTTGGTTTTCTCCCTAATAAGCACCAGTGACCTTCCAGCCACATCTCCAGGAAGCTGCATCTGCAGAAGAAGTCCTGAACATGGCCTAGTCGGATTCTATGTCCCCGACCTCCCCCAGGACGTGTGAAAAACTCTTTTGGAGGTGTGAGTTGAAAGCTGCATGAACCGAAGACTCCACCAGACGTTCCCAGTTCACCCTCACTCTGTGTTTGGGTTTGCCAGGTCTGACCAGCAGACTCCCACGCCACTGGCTCCAACTCACCACCATATGTTGATCAGTTGGCAGCTCTGTCCCTCTCCACCCAAGTGTCCAAGACATAGGGCCGCAGGTCCGATGACCAAATTACAAAATCGATCATTGACCTTTGGCCTAAGGTGGCTGGTACCAAGTACATTTATTGACCACCCTATGCTCAAACATGGTGTTTTTTATGGACTACTCATGCCTAGCACAGAAGTCCAATAAGCAAACATCATTCGGATTCAGATCAGGGAGGCTGTTGATGCCAGTCACCCCTTTCCAGATACAGTAACTCCATCATTGCCTACATAGGCATTGAAGTCACTAGAACTGAATTCATAATTCTTCTTTCTGCTTTTCCTTCTTCGGGGGTCACCATAGCGAGTCATCCTCCTCCATCTCACTCTGTCCTCTGCATCCTCTTTCCTCACTCCAGCTACCTCCATGTCCTCTCTACCTGCATCCATATACAAATGTGTCATAGTCTATCATGAGTGTGTGTGGGCAGTGGGAGGGGTGCATCAGGGTATTTACCTGGGCTTGGGACCAGCACAAGAAATACACTGGCTTGTGTTCCCTAGTGGCTGGTTTTACTGAATGTACTTTTGACAAAAAAAAAAAAAACATAGTGAAACATTTAAGCAAATAAAACGCTGTGATTTTATTATTTTTTTTAATATGTGCTGGTGCTGGTGGATTTTCCTCTTCTAAACTGTCTCAAAATAGAAACAGATGAAATAAAAGATGTCTTCAAAAATGGTATTTGAATTTGTCTATTATAATAAACAGACACACATGTCACACAGGATGCTTCACACGGCCTGCGGAGGAAGTGTGTATGACAAAAAGTTCACTCTAGTTTTATAGCACTTCATGTGATAAAAAAGACATGAAAATGGGTCAGAGAGGAATTGTGCTCCGTGTTCTTCAATGACTGGGCTGTTGTCTTATGTACTCCTGTTCTAGTTTAATTGAACATGGACCAGTTACAGAAGATATCAATCATGAGATGTATTTGTTCTATTTTGAGAAACAGGAGATGCATGATTTATTATTTCAAAACACCCTGAATGTATATTTAAGGTAAAATACAAAGTTCTCTGTGATAGTACATAGATTATGAACTGAAAGGGGATTATTTATTTTTCACGACTGCATTCATACAGTCATGAAAAATAATCCCCTTTCAGTTCACAATTTATGTACCAGCACATATTTATTTAAATCACAGCATTTTTTTTTGCTTAAATGTTTCACTTTGTTCTTTTTTTGTCAAAAGGACATGGTACTATGTCTTTTATGATTTGTTTAGTCATTTTGTAAAGTTAGGCCATGCTGTGATGTTTCTTTTAGAGAAACAAGGCTTTCTCTTGGCACCCCTTACAAACTAGACATAATTGTTCTGTCTTTTTTTTTCTAATTGTATTGGCATGAAGTGCAAAATGATAAGAAGCTGCATTGCTGCTGCTGTTGTTGTTTTTGTTGTTGTTATTGTTTATATGAGGATTTTATTATTTTTTTTGACAACCTGGTAAGGACTAGGAAATAATCCTGGTACATGAAGTTTGTCATTAACAATCATAGTAAAAAGTAAACTTTTTGTTTATTTATTTTTTACCATGATTGTGTACATAAATCACGCCTTTCTGAAAGTGAGCCCCAAAAAGTACCGACACGGTGGTTTCATTTTATACATTTTCAGACCTATATCAGGTTTTAACTTCACTTTTTGACTGCGAACACGACTGAAGTAACTGCAGTGCCAGTGTTAAAATATTCTGTTCAAAGTTGCACAGGTGACACTGTCAGTTACATTAACTCTTGTTTTAACGACAAAATTGTGTAATTTCCGCTGGTTCGTTGTCTTTGTGTGACAGGAAGATTTAATGGAAATGGACCTTGATAAAGAGGAAGTTCTTCTACCGCAGCAGAGGGAACTATCTGGGGAGACTCTGCTCACCACTGAATATCTTGGTGTAAGAGCACAACATATTTATGCATATACACAAAGCAAAGGAGTACAACAACACTAGACACCATGAAACTTTCACTGCCGTGTGAATGTTTGCATGCTCCAGGGACCTTTTGAGCCACCTGCTTCTAAATACCATCATGGTGAATATTTTGAACATTTTAAATTGACTTAAACACATTTCTCATTGTCCTTTAGGCATAAATTGGACATCCAAATATCATAATTTTGTGAAACAGGCACTTAAATCAAAGTCCAATGTTATCTCTATGTTCTGCCTGTAGCACAGATAAAATAAAATAAAAAAACAGTATCTATGAGCACAGATATCTGTCTTCATTAACAATCTGATCATCTGGTTGCTTTTTTCATATTGGGTTAATTAACAACAGGAATAACTAACAGTCAGGACTAATTAGTCTATTAATTAAAATTAAACTGTTAATTAACAATTTAATTACTTTGTAGCTGCAACACTATTGGAACCACTGGGACATAATATTATTAATGTGTTCTCTACTCTGCCCAGGAATTGTGTAATCTGAGATTGGGTGGGTTGTGCGTATTATTTTGTCAATTTTAGTTTTAAATTTACACGGATTCAGAAATTAAAATGGCATGTTTTGCTCATCCATTTGTGGTAGATTATGACCAACATGCCAAAAGTGAAAAGGAAGTCAACCCCTCTGTCGCAGCCAAATATTGACGAGCCCTTACAGCGGCCTGTCACCCCTAGTTCTCACCGAAACACGAGCACAGGGTAAGTTAAATACACAGACAATGTTATGAAATCAAATTCACATAGGTTCAAACCAGGTTTTTTTTGTTATATTATTTCTTGATACTCTGGTTTTTAGGCTCTAAAGGGTATGCTAATGGTCAACATGAAGATCCTTATTGACATTTTGCTATAACTTTGATTTTGATGTTTGTGCTTGTGTTAACCGTAGTGATAATCGAGTCAGCAGTCAGGGTCATGAGAGCAGCCGAAACAGGGATTACCTTCTGAGCCAACAGAAGAGTGAGGAGGGAAGTCTAATTCCATCTCGATACAACTCACGACCTCCTACACGCTCCGGCAGCCGCCCCAGCACTGTTGATTCTCTGCACCACAGCCTTGGTATGTATTTTATCTGAACCTAATATGGCTTACTAATGGCTGAATAATGTCATTGCATTACTATAAAGAGATAAACATGCATCTTTGATAGGGATGCACCGATCCACTTTTTTTCACTTCCGATACGATATCTGAGGTTTAGTGCCTGTCGATAGCGATCCGATACCGATATGATACAGAAAAACTGTGCTGAATTAACTTAAAACATTTGTTTTTTAAACGCAGACATAAATGTACTGAATTACAATGTAAAAACAACACAACTTTAATTTGATCAGTCAGTGCAATTATGAGTATAACATCAAATGTAACATAAATAATAATAAATATACTGAAACTGACAAAAACAGGTTGACCGCTTTGGTCAAACATGAAAAAATAAACGAACAAACTTTTCAAATAGTTCAGGAATTCTAAAAATAATGTAAAATAAATAATAAAGGAGCTGAAATAAGAGGGGAAAAAATAGCTTCCTAGCTTGGTTGGCAGCTATTTAAAATAAACAGCAATCAGCTCCTGTCCTTATGAATCGGTCACATTGTCTCGATACCCGATCAAGAATTTTTCAATACCGTTACAGATGCCGATACCAATGTCGGATTGGTGCATCTCTACCGATATCCGATCATGATTTTTGTTTTCAATATCTGTACCGATGGGCAGCACGGTGGCGCAACTGGTAGAGCTGCTGCCTCTCAGCGAGCAGGTCCTTGGTTCAAACCCCGGTCCAGAGGCCTTTCTGGGTGGAGTTTGCATGTTCTCTCCGTGCATGCGTGGGTTTTCTCCGGGTACTCCGGTTTCCTCCCACAGACCAAAAACATGCATGTTAGGCTGATTGGTAACTCTAAATTGTCCCTAGGTGTGAGTGAGAGAGTGAATGGTTGTTTATCTCGTTTGTCTCTGTGTCCCTGTGATGGACTTGCGACCCGTCCAGGGTGTACCCCGCCCCTCACACAGTGATTGCTGGACATGGGCATGAGCGACCCCCGTGACCCAAAATGGAATAAGCGGGTAAAGATAATGGATGGATGGATATCTGTACCGATACTAATCTTGGATCGGTGCATCTCTATGAATGTTGTACATCAAATATCCTGATTCATGCTCAATAATCCAGGTAGAAAAATCTAAAAAAAAGTTCAATTTGGTTTTCTGGACATTCAAAAAAACCAACAAAACAAAAAAAAATTGTAGAAACGTTTCGTCTTTCATCCAAAAGACTTCCTCAGTCTGAGGTACTGTATTCAGCTCAGTCTTATAAATAGCACCATCTCAGAGTAGATCAACCAGTTTGCTGCTGACAACCAAAACCAGCTGATCACATGATCAAGAAGGACCATCAGCCTAACGATAGATCATTAGCACACTGATGGCTGTTTACTATTCACAGGGGGCTGAGTGATACTAGCAATCACAGCATTGTAAGAGGGGGATAGAGAGGGAAGGTTGTACATCATATATTTGTTGCCAGAATACTCTTCCTCTTTGTGCACTGCCCGTGCATTCATTTTCTGACTTTTATCAATAGTTGGGGTTTCGAGGCAACAATTTTGTGAGAAAATCTCTTGTACACTTTGTTTAGTGAAAATCATGGCATGTTTGTGACATTGTTAAATTTCCCTTCCACCTGTTCTCTATATCTGATGCCTGTTATTATGTATTTGAAGCGATGCCCCTGTCCAAAGGAAACACGAGGCACTGCCAGACAAGGAAGCTTCAGCAATTTCCTCAAAACTCTTTAAGGAATAAATGTATCCACAAAATGAATGCCAACTGGCTTACAGACTATATTTGCTTTCAATAAAGACGTCAGCACAGCGTCAGCTTGTTTGTCTGTGTTTAACAGTTCTGCTCTGTTTAACCCTAACAAACTTTTGTTGTACTCATGTTTCATCTTTAAATGAAAGGGCAGATGGAAGTTTTATTGTTTTATTCTACACATAGTATGATGAAACTTGCTTCTTATTTCACCGTCTGTTATACATCCAGACTCGGAATGTGGACGGTTTTTCCACGATTCGGAGTTGGACGGGTCGTATGACGATAGAGCCAGAAAAGAACGTTCCCAGGAGGAACACAATGGGCATTCCATCAGGTAAAGTGACTCTCAAAAGTGCTCGAACACACACGTGTATTGTAAATCTGTTGGCTATTTTATTATAACAACTGGCCATTGTTGTTGTTATACGTGTGCTTTTGTGAGTACACAAGTGTGTAGATTCAGATCTAGAGCACTTTTATGCTCATATAACTATATATTTGTTTTGCCTGTTGCAGTTTATAGACATGTTTTTCGGCAAATTTTGTGCATAAAAGCTAATAATTTCTAAAAATATACATAGTGTGGTTTTGTTTCTGAAAGAGCACTTAAGTAAAGTTTTTACAACTTATAACAAATTATAAATTAGATGACAGTGCTCCCATGTAATGTCTTTCTTCAGCTTTTGTTGTGTTTAACCAATTTACTCTTTATAGTGTAGTGAGGGTGCCAGATGAAAAAAAAGACCTTTAATCCCTCAAGTAAACCACATTCACATGACAAGTCTGCCTCGTGCATCTGAGCAAACTGTTTGAAACAACAGTTTTAATCTTTCTTCATGCAAGTTACATGTGACAACCATCCCCTCAGACAGAGTTTTGTATTTTAATAAAACGATGGATATTTGTCTTCTGTCAAAGTTTTCTTTTTCTACTAATCTTTTTTGATGCAAAAAGCTCAAATCTGCATTGATTCACTAATGGAAACATACAGAATGTGCATTTTTAATATATTTTGGTGTTGCAAAACATTAGTAGATTTTAAAATTATTATGATTTTTTTTTTTTTTTTTTTTGAGCCCACGTTTTTTATTTAGGGTGTTGTGTCACTGTATCCGTGGAACACAGAAAACGAATGACCAAACCACAATAGTTTATAGATTATGAATGTTACATGCTTGATCTTGTGATATCAAAAACCTGAAACTATAACTTTATACCTACATTTACTGAATCTAGTCATTGAGACCATAATGGTATTTCAGAAAAAAATCAACACTAATTTTTTAAGAAAAATTTTTTTTTTTTCTTTAGGGTTGTCAACAGGAGCCACCATTTAATATGATGGAGTTAATAAAGTTAAACCCATATCCACACAGGTGGTGAAATCAATAGAAACCTCACAGCCAACAAACTCTCCTTAATGCCGTTCATTCAGGTTGGCTGAATTATATTCTCTTTTTCACTTATCCATTCTAAAGAGTAACCTGAGAGTTTTGACGCAGCTTAATGGGCCTGCAGCATAATAATTGTTTTTTCTTTTAGAACTAAATGTTCTGAAGGTGTGAACTCAAGTCTGAAAATAGCTCTTTTTTTTCCCCAGTGGGATCTTGTTGAGTAAGACTGATCGAACGTGCGTGGTAATTGACAGTTTTCAAACTCTAGCTTTACTTTGACAGATTTAAGAACGCAAGGTGCCACTCAAATCACAAAATTCAAAAGGTTTAGCATAACTTTTTGATTAAAGTAAAGCTACAGACATGAACATAATAATAATTTGGTGACGTGTGTCCGAGGAGACAATTGGGAAGAGTGTCGGATGCTGGTGGATGAGTCAGCACTGCCAAGCTGGCGTGTGAGATTGTGACATGCATTTAAAGGAGCAGCAGCCACAAAAACAAAAATCTTTTCAGTCGTACCTCCTGTGTTCATTCCCTCTTTTAAACCCCAGAGAAACTTGACTCCAAAATCCCCGCCAAGAGTAATGAGTCCCAGGAAACCCTCCATCTATCCACCAGGAACGTAAAACACCCCCACAATACAACCTGGCTGAGACTAAACTGAACAGTCTAATTTGTTTTTGTCTGAATGACAAGTCTTGTATTTGGAGAAAAAAGTTATTTAAATTGGGAAGAATGGAACCTTAGCAACACAACAGATTGGCAAATTCCAGATTAGCAGGTGCATTTTTAAGCTTTTTTGTGGAGTAAAATACTTGTTAAAACAAATGACTTGCACTGACTTGCCTTGTTTTTATTCTCTTCTTCCACAAGCTGTTTACGGTATGTACTTTTTGTGTAAGAATGAGAACCTGAAGACAATTTATACAACATCTAGGCCAATGTTGTGATGCTGTACAAGTGTGCAAATATTGTGCCTCCTAATAAGCGCACACACAGATACAATCACAATTTGTCACACTCAGTTGTAGCAGATATAATTGCAGGTTTGGAGCCAGCGTGAGTCTCCTGAACAGAAACACAAATGAAATCCATCCTTTTAGATATGGTGTTCGATTACTGCACAGGATGTAGGTCATTTGGCTTCTGTCTGATAAGGACATTAGTGGAGATAAGCTCGGTGCCCTGTAATTGGATGCTGAAGAGCTGTTCCTTCATTGTGATACTGTTTCTCAGACATTTTTACAGATTGCTATTTCTGTGGTTTCAGGGGCTCAATAAAGTGCAGCTGCTTCATTGAGGAGAAATGATATTTACAAAACTATAGATGAATAATTAGGTTTACATAAATATGTAGTAATCCGCTTGAATATATGTAGGTTTTGCCTCATTTTCTCAATTCCCAAGTCAACCAGGTCATCAATTGAACTACTTTTGGGCATTTGTTATGATGCGTAACCATAGCAACAAGATATTTTTTAACAACCAGGAGCGGCTGATTAACATCTCAACAGCTCAAATCCCTCAGCTATAGCCCCAAATCCCAAGTGAGTTGAAAAGGAGACGCCGTGGATGAATTCCCGTCAATCTGGAGGCAGTGCTCGAGTACCTGACCGCCAAGAACCTGGAGCTGGTGGGAAACTCATCTCATGACAATGGGAGGACCAGGATCATCCCCCGGCACCTTCAGCTGTCCGTCCATGGTGACGAGGAGCTTTCGAGCAGTCCTGCTGCCCAGGAGGACCAAGAGTCCCGCCAGATCTGAGAGCAAGCTGAATCCGGGTGGACAGATTGGTATCTGTGGCCAGATTCTTCGGATTTGCTGCAGGAGATCTTTCCTTCCCACAACTATAAGCATCTATAACAACTCTTAAATGAAACCAAGATGATGAGCTACGACAACACTTAATTTCCCTTTGGGATTAATAAAGTGTTTTTGAATTGAATTGAAGTGAATAGTCTATAGACCTGTACTGTATATCGACTGAAATGAAAACTAACGTGTCAAGGACAAAGGCAGACATCATTTATTTTAATCCCCTTGTGAAACTAGATCTAGCCACATCTGTACTATAATAAGTCAAAAATGCAAGAAGCAAATAAGAACAGTTGTACTGAAACACAATTATTTTACCTTTTTGTATTTTGCTTTGTGTGTTACCTGTTGTTTTGTCTGTACAGCACTTTGGTTGGCCTTGTAGCTGTTTTAAGTGCTTTATAAATAAAGTGGTATGGTATGGTAATTAAAAGACAGTCAATAAAGACCAGTTGTTGCTTTTGTTTAGTTTTTTTGGCAATGCATTGTTCTTACCTTGGACATCAGACGTAAGGAATGTTTTAATTAACTTGAATCCTTCAAAGTTCATGCTCAATAATCCAGGTATAAAAATCCAACAAAATTCAGTCATGTCATCTGGATGTTATTTTTGTTTGTTTGTTTGTTTCCCTTCTTTTTTGTTGTTGTTGAGACATTTCATCCTTCATCCAAAGGACTTCATCAGTCCGAGGAGCCACAGTAAACTTATTAGTCCCACAAGCAGCACTCTCCCTTGGTGAAACAACTAGTTTGCTGGTGATAAGATGGTTTCTGGGGCCTGCCTTCTTCCCCGTCGACTCCTCTGAAGCAGCCATAGCCAAAGTGGTTCAAAGCATCAAAGTCTATGCTCATTAAGTGATGATGTGCTGATGAAGTCCTTTAGATGAAGAACGAAACGTCTCATCAAAAGAAAAAATAAACCATCCAGATGACCTGACTGAACTTTAACTTGAATCCAAATTTTTTTATTGTGTTCTTGAAAATGCAAGTAAACAAAAAAAAAAAAAGATGACGAGTTGTTGAACTAAAACTAAGCATTTCTTTTGTTTTTGTTTGTTTGTTTTCTAACATCAGCGATAGTGATTACATCGCCGCATTTGCAAGCAGACCCAAGATTCCCCACACGCCTGACACCACAGACAGACAGAACAGCTCTCACCACGATCGGGGCCTCGTCCTGGCTCCCCAGTTTTCACAGTCGGAGCCACAGCAGAGCAGTCGGCCCGGCTCTGCCCGCTCCACAGGAGGAATGGGAAGTGGAGGTAAGCATCTGTTAATGGTGGGTAGTTAACACCTGCCACCAGTCAGTGCTGGCAAAGTTTGGCTTCAGTGGGTTATTTTATTTATTCTGCCAACAACTTTGGAAGAGAAGCAGCTATAATTTAAAGGTTCAGCACCTTTGAGGAACACGTTGAATTAGAAGAAGGCAATGAGCTGTGATTGAAGCAGTTTTAATAGACCTAGCTTTGCTGTGCCTGTACGTAAATCTTTGACCCATTTTTTTTTATTTAGAGCATATTTTGACCTTATTGTATCACACACCCTGACTTTTAAAAAGGCAAACAAAACACGGGTGAAATTTACTCACAAACTTTGTTTCACTTTCCTCATGTTGCAGTTTCTCCCATCTTGAGTTACACGATTTTAACTGAAAGTCTGTAAAAAAAAAAATCTGGGATCATGTTTGAAAGTTTCTACATAGTGTTTTGTTGGTTCAGGTGTCAGCAACAATACTTAGGAGTCGGGTTACAAAACGCAACGTTTAGGCTAATTTGCTCACACATGCTGATCGGATTTCATAAGCAGCATATTTCAGTCTTGCCTTTATATTTATCTTTAACTTTTCAGACAGTATACATTAAACAAATGTTGTGTAGTTTCAAGAACAAGGATGGTCTCTGATGGGACTTCTTTGTGAAACTGGACTTTTATGAACGTGAGGAGTTCCGAGTTCATTTGTCAAAGGGTTATCCTAGAAAGCAGATAATTTTATTTATTTTAACGTCCCAAATCAGTTTGGGATTTAAAAGATATTAAGCATAAAAAGACGTTATTTCAAATACTGTATCAGACATATATACTTGTTAATTCATAAAGCAAGCCAAGAAGAACACAGCAACAACTTCTCATTGTCTTTTATTTTATTTTATTCAATTTAAAATAAATCAAAAAGGCAAATTGTGTTAAGTTTTTGTTGAACGAACAAAGTCAGTAGTCTGTCCAACCCAACTGTCATTATTAGCTTTCACTGTCATGTCTCACACAAGGAACTTGAGTCACCGCAGGAAAGGTCTGGTGCTCTTAGCTTTGCGATAGCAATCTCGCCATGCTCTCATGCATCTTAACTGCATTTCATGAGTGATTACATCCGGCTCGTCTGCTGAGTAACTCTTACCATAAAGCTTGTAAAAGTGCCTAATGGTCACTCGTAGCCACCACATCCTCATGTGAGTGTGTTGTACTTTTGAGATCTGGAAAGTGTCTGCCATAGATCGCCTTATGATCCTTCTTACTGGGATCAGAGCTTGAAGTGCAGTGAGCAGACACACGTCTCACTTGTAAATGACTCTTCGAGGCTCAGTGTGATTTATCTGTATAAATAAAGGGTGAATGACACAATCCTGCTCTATTATCTATTCTATTATCTTCTATCCTTTCATCTTATATTTACTTAAATGTCAGTCAAGCTAAACATGTGTGTGTAATCTTTACTGCTAGATGGACTCTGCAGGAGGTAACACCAAACCACACACTGAGGAGTTCCTTTAGGCCCACCTTTGGTATATACACATTAGTTGTGATAGACGGAGGTGCGCACTTTGCCGAAGGAGAGATAGATGAGGTGTTTGTGTTGCTGACTGGGCCACCCACTCGTTCAGTGCAAACACAGAGGACAGCCTCTGTTTTTGTACGGAAAACGCAGCATTATCCTTGTCAAGACAGGCCGTGCAAACGGACTGGGTGTGATGACAGGTCACCATTATGTTGCAATGCAAATAGAAAAGGCAGAGGAAGTGCATGAGTATTCCTTAAGGCTCGTTTTCTTAGAGATAACCAGAACAACGAAATCAGATTATTTTTGTCACTCTTCCATAGGTAATGGAAGCCTAAATGCATGCAGTGCCACACTCCTTTTTTTTCTGTTCAGCACATAAACGTTTCGAAATGTTGCAGATTCAGGGTTTGGCGTTTTGCAGTGAATTTGATGGGTTAGATGTTCCATCTGCCTCGTTGTTCCCTTCTTCATCCTTTCCTCTTCTCTCTCCATCTTCAGCCAAGCAGCCCAAGAGAAGGTGAAGAGGGAGCTGTCACCATGGGGGAAGCACTATCTCCCCAGGAGCGTCAGACTTCCTGTAACCTCATCCCCCCCTGGGTTGTGATCAGGGTCAGGCCAGCAGAGACGGTTAAGGATCAGCTGCAGCAGCAAGAAGAAGAGGAGTGGGTGGAACAATGTTCAGATTGTGGCTCTGCATTTTTCCCCGTTTTGACTTCAGCACACACTCATTTGGTAATATAATACAAAGGCAGACAATAATCACAATCACCAGCCATTCAACCCTGTGAACCCTGAAGCCCTTGAGTTTCTAGTTCTTTTTTGTTTTCCTCGAAATAGTACTTGGAGCACAGTGACAAAAATACTGTGTAATTAGATCCAAGTTGTGTTCTAACTTGGATTTAACACTCTGCTCTGAAGCTGTTTGAGACTAAAATGTGTAGGACTTTCATCCTGGCTCACTGGTTTCTCACTTGTCGTTTTCTTTTCTGTGGAAATAGAAATTTCCAGAACTATCTATGTGTTCAGACCTGACCTCTATCAGGGTTTAAATGAATGTAATGGAGAGAATTAGATTTTTTTTTTAAGGAATACTACAAATACTTTATGTGTTTTGAAAACCTTTTGCACTTTTTATGACAATTGTAAGATAAATATAAAATACAGTTATAGCTCACCACATTTCTGCAAATCAATAATCCAATGAATTTCTTAATGAACTAAAAGATTTTTAAACTCTAGCATGAAATATTTATCTACGTGAATAAATTATTACACCAGCTGTGCTTAAAATAAGACAAAAAAACATTTTACTTAAAAGTTGAGAAGACTTTTTTTTTTTTTTTTTTTTGACTGACACTCCAGGAAATGTACATATCCAAGTGTGACTTGTCTGATTAATATTTGTTTTTAAATTATATCAGTAGTGATTACTGAGAACATCAATGACAAAATTACTTTAATTTTTGTAAATATCCTAAATTCATTGTTTCTTGCGTTGTACATTTGCACTGTTTATTGCTGTGGTAATGTGTATTTATTGAAACTGCCACTTTATTGTCATGAATTTTGAGATCAGTTTTAGTGGTTTTAAATAAAATTATGTCAAACCACCTGTTCACTGGTCTTTGCAGCCTGACCGGTCTGCTTTAGTTGCAACTAAAGAATTTTTAAATGTATTTGGCTTCATGTTAAACCTCAGTTGATCTCAGGAGAGGGGCCGAGATGGGGTAGAGTTAGGGCAGCCGACCTGGGACCATAAAGTTGCAGTTCGACTCCCAGCCATTCCCACATGTTGTGGTGTCTTTGAGCAAGACACCCAATCCATAATTGCTCCCCGGGTGCCTACATAGCTGCCCACTGCTCCACCTGGGTGTATCTCACGTGTGATGGGTTAAATGCAGAGAACTAATTTTGCCATTGTATAGAAACATACAATGATGACAATGTCAGACTTCCCTATTACCAGCCTTTATTTGGCATATTGGACACAAAAAAGAAAAAAACATAACTTGCAAACACAATCTTCGTTTATAGGTTTTTATAACTCCGACTGCCCTTGAAAGAGACTTAAAGTTGACTTTCATGCCATCAATATTTTTTTTTTTTACAATTCCAGTAATGTTTAGAGGCCTGTCACATGTTATCTGATACTTCCTCTGTTTTCTCCTCCACTGTGTCTTTCTTTCCAACACCCCCCTCCCCAGCCGCTTTCATTGATTCTGTTTCATTTGACATGGTATGTGTTACTTGTAAGGATCTTGTGAAGTATATTTTTAGGATCTTTTATAGTATGACATATACGAAGGTTTTGTGATATACATTCTAAAAGAAGGTGCAGCAGGTCTAACTCGAGCTTTTATTTGGCATTTATCTTACAGAAATATATTACTTAACCTTGTGACCTCATTGCAAAAGTAACATCTTTCCACTATGACATCATCACTGACCTTACCTCCAATAAAACAATTTCTTTCAGGGCAAAAAAATTGTAATACTAGTTGCATTTCAGAGTCATTCACTAGTGCGCATTTGCTTACTATCTATCACAAGATTGGGGTTTATATGTTGAGACTCCCAGAGATCTGGATCTCACTCAGTCTTTTCTCAGTGGGGTGTGCCCGTAAAATCACATGCAAGAGGCATGTGAAGACTGCTGTATTTATTCGTATTCATCTACACACACAGACTCGTTCGTGCTGCGGTTGTTCGGCGTATTGTTTCTTTTTATTGTATTCTTAGTTTAGCATATTTCTTAGTTTACATCTTAGATCCTTATTACTGTTTCTTTTACAATTTATATTCTTGTTGTTGGATGTAACTGGGACCCTGTACAAAATTCCATTCCACCTTATCTACTACATGCCATGTGAATGACAAAGAACCTTGAATCATTAATCAGATCCCCAAACCACCTCAGCTGACTCATTTGGGTGTAAATGGGCAAAGGCTTTAGTTCAAGCTGCCCACTTTATCATCTCTAAGGTTGACTTCAGCCACCTGAATCTAATTTCAGCTGCTTGGATCTGAGTTCTTGTTCTTATTGTGACACACCTTATGATTATATGTGGTTAGGGTTAGTTTTTATAATGTGCAGTGATTGTGCCACACCTCTTGACCATAGTTGAGGATTGCAACATAGACGTACCAGTGAATTGAGTGTTTTGCCACAATAGACTGGACCAAGGTCCTCCTTTCTGAGAATAAGGCTCCAATGCATTGATTTATTAATAAACAGGTCTCTCTTGTAATTGAGTTCTCCTGACTCAATGAGACTAACCTGTATAAATAAAGGTTGAATTAATCTCCTGCCCCATCCTTCCATTCCTTCTGAACAGAACTCAGATACATGAACTTCTTCGCTTGAAGCAAAACTTTCCCCCGATCCAGAGGAAGCATTCTAACTTTTTCCAGTTGAGAACCATGGCCTTAGACTTAGAGGAGCTAACTCTCATCCCAGCCGCTTCATGTGAACTTCCACAGTCTATGCTGAAGATCTTGGCCCCAACAGAACCACATCATCTGCACAAAGTAACAGACCTGACACGTTCCTCTTCACAGCTGTGCCTTAAGGTCTTGGCTGTGAACATCGGAAACGGGATCAGAGGCAAGGTGCTGAGTGCAGTACAACCCTCTTGGGAACAAGTTTCACTGTTTAGAAAATATGGACATAACTCCTGCTTTGGTTATACAGGAACCAGATAGCCCTTGAGAGTCATCAGCACCCCATACTTCCACAGCACCCCTCACAGAATATCCCAGGAAACATGGTCATAATCCATAAAACATGTGGAATGGACCATCAGACTCTCGTGACCAAACATTGATATACAGTATAACTATGTAGTTACTACTGCAGGTCTCCTAATTCACAAATACCTAATAATTAAACTTGCAAAACATTAGCACCTTGAAATGTGTGAGTTAACTTGATCTAATGAAAAATATGCAGATTTGGCACATCACGTCGTAGTCTCAGATGCTGTTCCCCTGACAAATGGTTAGGGTTAGGGAACACTGTTTCATTTCAATATGTTCTTGTACGTAGCTGAAATGACAATAAGATCTCTCTGACTCTGACTCTGACTCTGACTCTGATTCAGCAGTGAACCTCATAGATGCAGCCTGTGAGGCTCAGCACAATGTGAGGAAACAGCCCACACAGACTGACGCACATGCAGCCAGGTGGTACTGTAACCCTGAGCTCAAACTATGCTGGAAGTGATAGAGAGAAAAAGGGGGTGTGGGGGGGCTGCTTTCTCTCAAAACAAAAGTTTTGATAAAAGACTAAAAAGAAAGGAATTTACAGACAAGGACAACTTAATTTCAAGTTCTGGAGAGTCCCGTGTGTCATGGAATCACCCATTTTGTGTTTATCAGTAGACAGCCATAAGCTTTGCTGATAAAATGAGACGTCAACAAAGACAAGGCATTTGTCTTTCAAACCTCCTGTTTCCTCTTGTGCAGAGCCCCTTTAAACAGATGGATCAAAGTCAACACCGACATCTGCACTTTGCTGTAAACGCGTGTGTTACCTTTCAGGCCCATGTTGTTCCAGTAAATGCGTTGAACTCTACTTGGGTCAAAGTGGCCCATCGTCAAGAAGGCTCAAGTTTACAGCTTTTTTGGGGGGAATTCACCTTTTCTATGATTTTGACCTTCTCAGGAATGTCCTCACAAACTGGACATTAACCTTTAGCTTGAAAGCGCTTACATTTTTTATTGTGTGTGCATAAGAACAAATCCAAGCTGAAGGTTAGCATGTTGTAAAATGTTATATCAGCTGAAGGTTGTTGAAACAAGAAAAACAAGCAATATGCCGATGTTCCCCCGTCAGTGAGTGATTTGAATAGTGAATGTTTGTAGTGTTGAAGATTAGTGTTTTACTGGACTGGGACTGAACATGGAATGCAAATAAACTTGAATGTTTTTGACGCTAGATGTTGAAGTGCATAGTTACACTGTGTATAAGAACAGAGGTACTGGGTAGTTTTGTTTTTTAAGTTATTTTATTTATTTATGTGTTTATTTATTTTGCTTATCCGAGGCAGCACAGAGTGACAGATCCTGAGTGGAGGGAGCATTTTTTTTCCACCTCAGGCGCAATGGGGGAGCTAGGGGTGCCCAGTGGTGGCAGCTGTCCAGCATAGATTACTCTTCAGCCACTCTAATCTAGTTAACAATATAGAAACTAGAAAGCATAATTTCCTCAAATGATAGGGGTGGCCGGTTTACACACATGCACATGTGTGTGTGTGTGTGGTGAGGGGGGGTGGGCTTGTTTATGTTACTTTGTGAGGACCAAAGCCCGGTCCTTATAAAGTTCAAGTGTCGTCAGTGGGTTAGGGGTTAGGTTTAGGACTAAGGCAGGACTATTCAACTGGTGACCCAGGGACCAAATCAGGCCCACAGATGAAATCAGTTTGGCCCACCATTGGGTTCATTTTAAATAAAACTAGATTTTAAACATAAAACAACTTAATTAATGACAATAACTGCTGGATGTCCAGCCTGTGAGCTCTTGGCTTTCAGTAACTGTGGCCCCCTGAGAACTTTTATTTCAAATAAAAGTTGAATGGATGAAACATTTAGTTGAATAGGCCTGGACTAAGGTGTGGATTGAGGATGGGTTAGGTTTAGGGTTAGGGTCAGGGATAGAAATGAATGAAAAAATAATGGAAGTGTATGCAAAGTTTACGTAAAGATAGCAAGACAAACCTGTGGGTAGCTCACTGGATGAACAAAGGTG